ACTTGGGCATGTGCCCTGTCCGGAACCAGGACCTCTCAGTCCAAGGGAGGATGGCTCAATCCTGAGCCACACTGGCCAGGCTGAAGTACAATTTTAACTGGGCGTCTTGTATTTTCATTTGGTATGTTTGGCCCCTACCCCCACCCTCAAGAAGTGTTATCCAAGCACCCTCACTTGAGGACCGAGACACCCCCTCTACTCCCTCCCCCACTGACCTGAACCCAAGATTCCTACAGTTAGGACATACTCTCACCCACCCCTTCCCACAGCTAGATTTCCAAGAAATCAGAACTCAGAGAAGCAGGCAGCCAGGGGAGCCAATCCTTGGCACCGCCCTTCTGGGAAGGTTCAATGGTAATAAGGGTAATTTTAGGTCTAACAGGCTCCAAAGGCCTTATATGAGTACATTTTCCCCACACTGTCCCTCTTTCGGTACTTTCTAGGTCCCACTGTATTTAAAAACAGTTCTATTTGGGCGTTTCTTACACCACAACTTCTCAGTTTTGCTGTTTTCACAGTGCAGCGCTGGTCACCCTGGGCAGCTTGGGTCACTCTGGCCCCCTAGCTCTGGGCTTCCTTTCACTGGAGGCCCTACTGGGGGTGGCGGGATGGGGAGGGACTGTGGCTAGTGTCTCCCCTCCCAGCCCTCTTTAACAGAAAAGTAAACTGAGGCTCAGAGACTTCACCAAGCTCACCAGAAAGGAGGGGAGGCTTGCCTGCTAGCCTGCCCATTTCACAGCCAGCTTTCTTCTTTCTCAGGGTCAGGTCATCACAGTCCTCAGGTCATGGAACACGATCATGATTCACAGGTGTCAGGCCCTCTCTTGTTTCATCTATTTATATTTTACTAATTCATTCCTGATCCTGTTCCCCTGACCCCACAGACAACCCTTCAGATGGGTTTTGGATGCATGAATTCTCTCCATCTCCAGGGACGATAGATTTAAATACTCATTAAAATTACTACCAAGCAAGGAATGAATGATAGAGATCTTTAACTTGTTAGGCTAACAGTCAGGAGCCTACAGCGAAAACAAAACAAACAGAAATAATTTATTTTTTCCTTTTAAAATAAACTTATTTTAGTAGTTTAGATTTCTGGAAAAGTTGCAAAGATAGTACACAGAGTCCCTATAAACTCCGCACCCAGAGTCTCACTGACTCTTACAGAGTGTGGTACCTTTGTTACAGTTCATGAGCCAACATGGATACATTATTATTAACCACATCCCGCACTTTATTTTTCTTAGTTCCTTTTGTTCCTTTTCTGCTCCAAGGTCCCAAATGATATTTAGCGGCCACGTCTCCACAAGCTCCTCTGGGCTGTGACTGTCTCTCAGACGCTCCTTGTTTTGGGTGACCTTGACAGTGCCCAGTGCAGACCGTCCCTCTCTTAGGATGTGTATGATATTTCTCTCATTATTAGTCTGGCCTTGTGGGTTTAGGGGAGGAAGACCACAGAGGCAAAGTGCCCTTCTCATCGGTCATGTCAGGGGTCGTGCTCTTAACATGACTCATGGTGATGTGACTTTGGTGGTCTGGCAGGTGCCTCCAGTTGTTATTCCTTCCCTGCCTTCCCATCCTGTGCTCTTGGGGAGAAGGTTACTGTGCCCGCCCACACTTATGGAGTAGGCAGTTATGCCTTTGTGGAGGGCAGAGCATCTGCATAAATTACTTGGAATTCTTCCATATGGGAGCTTTGTCTCTTCTCCCCTTTATTTATTTATTCAATCATTTATATGTCACTATGAACAATGAATGGATATCTATTTTTATACTCTGTGTTTTAATCCAACACTGTTACTTATTTTGTTTAAATTATCCCAGCTTTAGCTACTGGGAGCTCTTTCCCTTTGTGTGCCTTTTAGTATAACCCCATCATTGTGGGTTGTTGTTTTGTTTTGGAGCACGTCTTTACTTTCTAGCTGTATTAGTCAGCTCTCGGTCTAGGGTGGGGGTCTCCACCTCAGCCCCATTGACATTTGGGGCCACCCTGTGCACTGTAGGACATTGAGAATCATTCCTGATCTCTACCTGTGATGTTCTGGCAACCCCCCTGATTGTGGCAACGGGGCACTGCTAAGTGCCTCCACATTCACCCCCTCAGCTGAGACCCCTGGTCTTCAGCAGCCAGAATGATGGAGATACCAGTGTGCTGTCTAATCCAGGTGCCACTGAGCACTTAGAACATGGCTAGGGAGGCTTGCTAGTGGAATTGGGTTTTAACTTTTATTTGCCTAATTAATTTAAATAGTCACAAGTAGCCAGTGGCTGCCTCCAAAGCAAATGGCTGCTGGTGCTAGGTCCCAGCCTGACCCTGGCCCCACATCAGGCCTCAGTCTGGCTTCCCCTGCACCTGGCTGATGGTGGGAGGTTGCTTGCAGGAATGAACTCACTTCCGTTTCCCTTCTGGTTTGGGTTGGGGATGCTCACCTCTGCCCCATTAGTCATGGGATTGGCACAGAGCACCCAAAACCTGAAAGGCTGCTCTTCCCAGGTTCCACCTGTGCCTCTGCCCAGCCAGAGCCTGAACCTTGGGTGACCCTGGCATTTTCCAGAGTTTCCCTCAGCCAATGGCTGAGCACTAGCTGTGCAGGATACACACTGAGTGCACACACACAAGTACACATACACATGCAAGCACACATGCATGCTGTCTCTCACCCCTGGGAGATCCTCCACGTCCCACCACGGGCCCTACCTGCTGGCTTGCTCCTATGGGTCAAGGTCATTCCCAGATATCCGGGAAAGGTCACCTCCCCATGGAAGCTGCCACAAGCTGCAAACCGCAACCCCGCATACACATGGTGCTGCCTGGAGTCTGTCTGTTCCTCCACAGCCCTTGCCCAGCTGGTGATGGTTGGCATGTCCATCCCAGCTTCCTCAGACAGGGAACTGGCTGGTGATTTTTGTTAATTAAATAGGGATAATAGTTAGTGCTGGCCCTGCCCCTTGGCACAGAGACACAGGTCCAAGGGCAAGGAGTGAGCACAGGTCCTGACTCGCTCAGCGGATCTGAGCAGGAGGTGACTGTCCAGCCTGGGCACCATCAATGGTTCTGCTGGCCAACATCACGGCTGCTGCCTGTGTGACGATTCATTTCCCAAGTAAACAGTAGTTATATAAACAGCTAATATTTACATAGCAATGGCTTGTTTCCAGGTCCTGTTCTGAACTGTGCATGTGGTAACCCTAGGGGTTTGGTGCTCTTATCCCTGTTTCACAGATGAGAAAAGAGGCAGAGAGAGGTTGAGTTACCTGCTCAAGGTTGCACAGCTGATGGCAGAGCAGGGATGGACACTTGGGCACCTGACCCCTGAGCCTGGCCTCCCAGCCACTGCCTTTAAAGATGGTGGTTCTGCCCTGGCCAGATGGTTCAGTTGGTTGGAGCATCATCCTGTACACCAAAAGGCTGCAGGTTCGATTCCCAGTCAGGGCACAGGCCTAGGTTGGGGATTTGATCCCCAGTTGGGGCATGTATGGGAAGTAACCGATCTATGTTTCTCTTTCTCTCGTCCTCTCTCTGTAAAATCCATAAAAACATATCCTCAGGTGAGGATTTAAAAAAAGGTAGTGGTCCCTCTGATTCTGTTCAGATGCATCTGTCACTTGTGCGCATAATGGGCACCAGAACAGTGTCCTTCACTGTGGAGGGGAGACATGGGAACTTTGGTGAGCACATTACAGGACAGACACATTACACAAAGAAGGGGCAGCATGCGCAGAGGCCCTGCGCAGACACGCTTATGCACTCAGGGAACTGCGGTAATTCCCGTGGGGTGGTAGGGATCCTCTAAACCCCAGCGCAGAATCTGGGTCAGTCCCCACGGCCAATCCGTGTTGGGTTTTTTTCGTTCACTATTTTTATTAATTTATTTTTGTTACAGATGTTTCTCCTTTTTCTCCCATTGACACCCTCTTCCCATTCCACCCCACTCCGTGTTTTGTAACTGAGGTAAAATATCCATGACATACAATTCACCATTTTAACCAATTTTAAGTGTACACTTCAGTGGCTTTTGCACATTCATGATGCTGTACACTCATCTCCTCTACCTAGTAGTGAAATGTTGTCATCCCAGAAGAGGGGCCCCCACGCCCATCAGCTGTCTCTCCACAGCCCCTTCCCAGCCCCAACCTGATTTGTCTGTGGACGTGCCTGTTGCCGTCACACAGAATCATGCAGGAAGTATGTGGCCCTCTGTGTCTGGTTTCTTGAACATTCTCAAGGTTCATCTGCGTTGTAGCTTCGATGCTTCATTCCTTTTCGTAGCTGGGAAACAATTATTCCACTGTCTGGACTGGCCATACTTCGATTATACATTCATCCACTATGGAGACTTGGGTTGTTTCTACGTTGGGCTGTCATAATGTAATTGCATGTAATAAATCATAAGAACATGTTGATTCCGTCCCCAGACGGGATGGGATGGAGAGGCAGGCAGTCCTGGATTCACCCTTTGAATCCCTGGTTGCACCTTTACCCTTCAGACCTGACACCTGACCCGAGGATGTGCTTCCTCCGCCCTGGGTTTGAGGGTGCAGGACGTGGGGGCGCAGCACAAGGCCGTGGTGCACACCTGTGTCCCCTGTGGCCTGGCCTGTGTCAGTCTCTCCGGACGCTGGTCCTGGACGCAAGGCTCTCCTCCTGCAGCGTCCGAGGGTGCGGGACCCGGGAGTCTGGAGGGGCGGGCTCGGCCCGCTCTCACCCTCTCCCAGAGCGCGCTCCCTGCAGGCCCATCCCGGGTCTGTCGCCAGGAGCCGCTGGCTTCCCAAACACCCGCGGGGCCCTGCACGCGGGAAGGGGCCGGGCGGGCGCTCCCGGCCCGGGGTTCGCTACGGGGAGCAGGGGGCGGGTGGACCCAGGGGTCGCGCGGGGACACCCGAGTACGCTCGCCCCGACCCCGCTCCTTGGACAGCGCGGCCACGCCCCCGGGCGGCGCGGCCCCGCCCCTCGGGCCGTCCGGCCGCGCCCCCGGGTTGCTAGGGGAAGTGACGTCACAGCGCGATGGCGGCGGCTCCTTCAGGCAGCTGAAGGGGGATTTAGGCCCGGAAGATCCGAGTCCATCCGTGGCGGGGAGAGGGCAAGTGGGGCCGGCAGAGGCCGGACCAGGGGCGGCGGCACTCGGACTGTCCCATCCGCCCCGTATTGTGGCGCTGGGAGCGGCGGGGCGGACGGAAAGCGATGGTGAAAGCGGGGCCGTGAGGGGGGCGGAGCCGGCAGCCGGACCCGCAGTAGCGGCAGCAGCGGCGCCGCCTCCCCGAGCTCAGACCCAGGAAGCGGCCGGGAGGGCAGGAGGGAGCCGGGCCCGCCGCCGCCGCCATGGAGCTCAGAGTCGGGAACAGGTACCGGCTTGGCCGGAAGATCGGCAGCGGCTCTTTCGGAGACATCTATCTCGGTGAGGCGCCCGTCCCCTGGGCTCGGGGCCGCCCCTGAGCGGCGTCCGCTCGGCCCCCTCGGTCCCGCGGCGGCGACCCGGCCCCCCCCCGGGACCATGCGCCCCCCGCCTCTCCCCTCGGGCCCGTCTCGGCCGCCGGGCCCCGCGGCTTCCAGGCCGGAACTTGCGGCCTTTCCGGGCCAGCCCGCGCCTCCCCCGGGGGCACCTGCCCAACCTGTGCCCGGGGCTGCGGGGTTGGCCGGGGTCCCGAGACCCCGCTGTGCCCGCCGGCGGCCCGCAGACAGACAAAGGTGGCGGCCGGTGCGCGGCCCCGCGTCCTGCGCACGTGCGGCGGGCTGGGTGCGGCGGGCCCGGGAGCGCCCGGGGCCGGCCGGAGGCGCCCGCGGCCTCCGCTGCCCTTTGCGACGAGGTGGGCCAGCCCGGGCGGGTGGAGCGGCGGCCGAGGACGTGTTGCGCATCCAGCTTCCGCGCGGGGTGCCTGGACTCGGAGCCACGTTGGGCACGGGAGAGGCCGACCTGGTGGCAGCGCTGCCCTCGCGAGCTCGTCCCTGTGGCTGGTAGGTGGTCCAGGCAGACCTGAACGTGGTTTCCGACCCACGGGAGACGCGCCCGCACAGGTGCGCCGAGAGGCAGGCCCGCACTCGAAAGCGGGGCGTTCGGAGAGGACTCCCGTGCGTTTCTCGGGAATTGCGTGTAAGTGACTCCAAACCCCCCGATTGGGGACCGTCCAGCTGGCGGCGGCGGGGTGCAGAGGGACTGCTCTTGCGCAAGTTTGGGGGTAATCTCTTCCTGTGGTTGTTGGCAGCCCCGCTCGGGTGTTTTTGTTTGGCTGGTGTACCTGTCATAGAGGGTCAGGAATAGCTTTGTACATGTGGGCCCTGCCCCTGGTTGTGCTTTAGATGGTCCCCCCGGCTCTGTCCCCGCCCCCGCCTTCCCTCCTGTCACCTGGAGCGGACGCAGGCCGCGAGCGCACACGGTTGGGAGTTCGTAACTGCCTGGATGCTTACCCCACGGGTAACCCTGTCACATGCTACATTGTTGCCTTTGAACCGGTGTTTCCGCCTACTGTCTTGTTGAGTAAAACACACTTTGGAGACATTTGGACTTTACTATTTAAATATTTATATCCAGTAGTCAGCCTGCTGCATTCTCAGCAGCGTTCAGGGAGGCAGAGTGCTATGTAAATGCAAGCTGTTTGCCTTATTTATAGAACAGTAGATTTTTGGCAAAACTTGTGACCTAGGATCTAGAAGCCGGACTGAGAAGCTAGTCCATTAGCCACCCTTATGCAAGCACAAGAAGTAGATATTTAAAAAATTTTTTGTCCTCTGGTCTGAGACTTTTCCAGACAGGTCTTGGTTTCTGAAGCTGGATTCAGACAGTCGCATTGTACAAGAGTTCTCACCAAGTCACTCACCAAGATGTGAGTTCTCAGCTGGAGTAGGAGCTCTGTGGGAACCCTGTCTGCCTAGTCACCACTCTTCTTTGGGCCTCAACTCCTGCTGGATGCCAGGAACCACTCAGCACAGATCAGGCTGACGGGTCCCATGTATCTAAGATGGTGAGTGGACTGTGGCCCTCACACTTCACCCAGCACCTGCACAGCCACCCTTTGGGGTTCGCTGGAGTTACTTGTGGGGCTGAGCACAGCCAGTCTTTCCACTAGCGTTGACTCGGGCTATACGCTGCCCCAGGGGAATGTGCAGCGATCTCTGTAGCTGGAGTAAGTTGTGGCTGGAAAAGTGGGTGTGAGGGTGCTCACCACATGCTATGGTTAAGGTCCAAAGAGCATAGAAAGTGATGAGGTCCAAAGAGCATAGAAAGGACTGAGTCATCTGTACCAATAGTTTTTTCTGTTTGTTTGGCCTAGTGATTAGGCATAACCTAAGGAATTGAATCCTTGTCTTGAACATCAGTATGTCCTGCGTCATTCTTGTGCTGTCACTTGGCTATTGGTCAGAACACTCTTGACTCCACCAGGTAGGGTCACCTTGTTTTGAGCCTGGCATTTGGGGTTGTGGATGTCCACCTGGGACTTTTTGCTTCCATACCTTTGAAACTGGGTGGAGGGAAAGGCTGTTCTTCAGCTTGGAGAGGGTCTCATGTACCAGGAAGGCCCAGTGTTGGTCTGTCTTCCCAGCAGCCTGCTTTGCAGAAATGGTTTTGCTGCACTGTGCCCTGCCAGGTCAGTCCAGTGCTTCCCAGGTCGCCCGTTCCGGCAGGCAGTCTCTTGGGGCTGTTTCTCCAATGCCTGGGCTTCAGAAAGTATGTGTGCTGGACTTGGGTCATCATGGGCTCCAAAATGTGTGGTCTCAATCCTCAGTCTGCCTCCCCTAGTCTTGACAGATCCCAAAGGCTCCTGGGAAGAGCTGGCTGGGAAGGCCTCAGCACTCACATACCCTGTGTAGCACACACTTGGCAGAGGGTCACCACACCTGGTGCTGCAGGGGGGAAGCCTTGTCACCCTGGGCCCCCCTCACTTCAGCTTCCACCAGCTTCAGCCTTTGATTGCTGGAGGTGACATGACTTTGCTGGCAGGGTACCTCTTATGCATTTGATAAGATTTGAAAACAAGGCCAAAGCCAGTGTCCTCAGTATGGACCTCAGGAAAGAAGAGTGTGTGGGGGGTAGCGTGTGGAGACCAGGCTGTGTGGTGGTGCTGCGGTCTGCATAGGTGCTGCTCTGGAATTCAGTCGGGTGGGGTGCTCAGCAGGGAGGGGCGCAGTCTGAGCCCCATTCTCATGAAGCTGTGTTCTCTCGGTCTTCTGGAGGCAGGTGGTAGGGTCCTTGGACACCCCCATTCCTGATGTCAGAATAGAGGATTTTGTTCTGCCAGCTCTGGGCTTTGATACCTGGCCCGGTCGCTCTGTCATTGTCAGAGAATGGACTGTCTGTTGACTCAACAACATGCCAAACACCCCCCCCCATCTTTTTTTTTTTTCCTCTATTGATTTTAGAGAGAGGAAGGGAGAGGGAGAGAAAGAGAGAAATATCAATGAGAGAAAACATCAATTGGCTGCCTCCTACATGCCCTTACTGGGGATTTGGCCCACAACCTGGGCATGTGCCCTCACCGGGAATCAAACTGGTGACTTCTTGGTGCATGGGTTGACACTCAACCACTGAGCCGCACCAGCTGAGCCCAAACACCTTTTTGGGGTGCTAAAGTTTAGGAACCTCTTCATATCTGGTTTTCATGTTTCCCCTTGCTGACTCTCAGTGCTCCTCAGTGGCACCCAGCAGGGTATGGAACACATGGTAGGTGTTCCAAAGTGCTGGCTGGCCAGTCACGCCTGTGTCCTTTAGGGTGGTGGCTTGAGTGCTCTAGTGAGAAGTCATGACAGCGCCTCAACTGCTCTGTCAACAGTTACCTGTGGGTGACCTCTGCCCTGCTGTTCTGAGGCCTCTCCCTGGTTCTTGGCGGATGTCACTCCTCAACAGGAGTTACCTTCCTGTCCCAGGATGGGGTCAAGCTTGGGGTTAGGTTCACTTATTTACCATCTGTCTTGTCTGCTCAACTTGACACAGTTTTGTTTTCTTAGGACCAGCATTGACCTGTGTCTGAACATAGACTGCTGTCTGCCTCGTAAGGGGCGCTTTTGGCTAATAGGGACTGAGAGTTGCCCAGGAGTTGAGGTTGTTTGGGAGCTGAAGCCCATAGTGTAGGCAGACATGATGAGGAAGCATTGACATGGCACTGGGTTTTGACTTGTTCTGAATGTGGAACCAGAGCTCAGGGGTATCTCTTTAGATTCTTGCTTCCATGTAGAAGTACTTCTAAAAGTTACTGGCTATGAAGCACCAGCTTTTGTGATTTCCATTTTGTCACAGACCAATACTTTTGCAAAATAAGATTAAAATGTTGCAGCATTATCACATTGTTATCAGAGCTCCACATGTTATCAGAACTCCATGGTGCTTCCTCTGTCCTGTATTTGTCCTTCCTGCACTGGTGGGTGGCAGTCTGAGGAGACTTGGAACATCACCGCCCCTGGCGCATGGAGCTGCTGTAGGCTGTCGGGAGGGTGGAGCAGGGCTGCAGACTGGTGGCCCTCAGTTCTGCCCAGTGGCCTCTGATGTTTGGTTTCCAAGGAACACACAGAACCTGAAGCTCTACTGCTTGGTTCTTCTCCCCAGTAGGCGAAGACCTCCCAGGGAGGCACCCACAGTGTGTGTCGCTCATGTTTGTGTGACCAAGAGCCCATGTGCAGCCCTTCTCCTGAGTCATTACACTTGGGGCCATCTTGATGTCTCCCATCCTGGCAGAGGCTGGTCCTGTTGCAGGTGTGATCCTGAGGGAGGACTGGTACCATGGAGTTGGATGAGGGAATTCCTGTGTGTTCTAGAGTTGCTTGTGGTCCTGTGTCCTGCAGACTGTCATTTTGCAGGGGGAACTGTTGGCTTTACTAGCCCCAGTGAGTGGAGCTTGAAGTGTTTCCGCCTTCTCCAAGGCACTAGTCAGGTGGGTAGTCTGTCCAGACTCAGGATGTTTTTTTTTTCTTTTTTCCTTTTTAATTTTTAGAGAGAGAGGAAGGAAGAGGGAGAGAGAGATAGACATGTCAATGAGAGAGAACATGGATCAACCGCCTCCAGCATGCCCCCCACTGGGATTGGGCCCACAACCCGGGCATGTGCCCTGACCGGGAATCAAACCGGCGACCTCATGGTGCAGGATCGACACTCAACCACTGGGCCATACCGGCCAGGCCCAGGCTGTTTTTTCATTGAGGGCCTGCATCCTGGCTAGAGTGGCAGTGATGAGTGTGTGGACTTGCTGATGTCACTGGTAAGATGAGTCATCCATTTATCCTAGGCTGGCGAGTTCAGTTCAGGGTTCCAGGTCCTCACAGGAACTCTTGAGTTCATTTTCATTTGCACAGTATATTTTGAGGTGAAATCATTTCTCTTGTAATTGGATAGATTGTCCCAACTGCAGGCAGGAAGAAGGACATGTATTACCTGTCTGTCTCCGAGTGCCCGAGTCTCTGTGCAATGAGAAATGAAGCTCTTAGACCTAGAGGGCCGCTGGCAGTGGTCAGATGGTGGGCATTCCCACTGAACCCAGCACTCGGGGCCGGTTTTGTATTCAGGTTCACTAGTCGTGGCTGCATCCTATGCAGTCATCTGAGCAGACCAGATAGAGGAGACTGTTTTCATTGGGGTTCTGGGGCGTTTAGTAGTGGATGTTAGTATCAGCAGGCAGCTCTCCTGCAGGTGGGTCACTGTTGTGATGCTTGCTAACCTAGTCTGTCTTTTGTCTGGGAGTCTGATTGTGCTTTGTAACCATTACCCTGTTTATCTCCACAACTTCCTCGTGAAACACACTGCCAATCTCCCAGCCAAACGTACGTAGATGGTGAGAGAAACTGAATCACCAAGCACTGGGGGAAGGAAGTGTCCCAGGGTCTGTCTGGGCCGCTGGAGCCAATGTTAATTCATTCACAAACAACCGTACTACTGGGGAGGATCACAGTGTTTCATATTTGCAGGGCACCTGTGAGGAAAGCCAGCAGAGTGCTGGACATGTGCCAGGGAAGACTGTTCTGTTCTTTCCAGGTAAAGCTCCTCGAGGAAGGTCTTGAGGCTGCTTGGGGTCAGGTTGGAACTCTGGAGTATTTGTGTGTGAGCCAGAGGGGTGATGGTTGTCACATTTGCGGTTCCTTATTGGAGGAAAACATAAAATGTTTGTAGATAAAAACTCCCAATTAAAAAAGCATTGATTGATTGATTGATTTTAGAGAGGAAAGGAAAGGAAGAGAAAGAGATAGAAACATCAATGAGAGAGAACATCGATTGGTCCCACTGGGGATCGGGCCCACAACCTGGGCATGTGCCCTGACCAGGAATCGAACTGGCAACTTTGGTGCATGGGTCGAAGCTCAACCACTGAGCCACACCGGCCGGGCTAAAACCTCCCAATTTTACCTTGAAACTTATGGGCTGATAATTGGGAGGCATTAGCAGACGTATTTGCCAGTTTTAGTACAAAACTCAAAAGGTGTGTGACAGGTGCATGTTGCATAGGTGCAGTCAGGGCTTTGAAAATAAGAGTTCTTTCCTGGCTCGGTGGTTAGAGTGTTGACCCGTGGACCAATGAGTCACGGGTTCAATTCTGGTCAAGGGCATGTACCTCGGTTGCGGTTTGTCCCTGGCTCTGGTCAGGTCATGCGGGAAGCAACCAGTCAGTGCGGCTCTATCGCATTAATGTTTCTCTGTTTCTCTCTTTCCCTCCCTCCCTTCCACTCTATCTAATGATAAATAGAAAAATATCCTCGAGTGAGGGATAAGGGGAAAAAAAGAAAAGAGTTTCTCCTCTTCCTGGTCTAGTGTCAGTAAGAAATGAACAGTGATGTTCTGTTGCCTAGGGAGTATGAGGCTTGCTGAGGGCCCCACCCCCAACTCCGTGTCCATTGGCCTGGCCTATAGTGAGTTAGCCATGAGTGCTGCCACCTTGGGAGCTGAGCCCATCTGAGAAGTGCTCTGACTGTTCAGAGGGGTGTGCAGCTGGATCCCTGGGCTGAGTGGATTGAGGTTATTTGATGTTTGGTGAAAACCAGCCTTCCCTCTAGAGAAAAGTGCACAGGCACACACAGGCCTATCCCATCAGCATGGGGACATGGGACCACACAGAAGGCATTGCAGGAACACATGGAATCTCCCTGGGGCTGACCAACAAGGTAATAGGAAGGTTCAGAGCAGGAGAGATGGGAGGCTGTAAAGAGAACCCGAACCTGTCAGCCTTCTCTGTTTTTGTTTTTGTTTTTATCCTCACCCAAGGACATTTTTCCATTTTTTGTTCAGGTGGGGGGGGGGGAGGAACAAAGAGAGAGAGAGAAACATCGATGTGAAAGGAACACATCGAGTGGCTGCCACCCACACAACCCCAACCAGGGCCGGGGACAAACTGCAACCGAGGTACATGCCCTTAGCGGGAACTGAACCCCGGTCTCTCCAGACCGCAGGCCGACGCTCTAACCGCTGAGCCAAACCGGCCAGGGCTGTCAGCCTTCTCTGGATCCCCTTGTGATGTGATCCGAGTGGGCACACACAGAGGTGGGTGATGTGACAGCAAACTAGACTTGCCTGTATATATTAAATACTCCCTGTTTTAAAAGGGAAAGGAAGGATAATTTTCCATGGGGTTTGTGGATTGCTGACACCATCTCATGACAGGAAATGGAGCACAACCATCCTTTGGTCCTTGGAAGACTTGGATAGTGCTCCTGTTCCTGGCGCGTTTTGCCACTGGGTTAGGTAGTGGGCACCAGATAATTAATGCTGTGCTTTTCTTTCTTTACAAGGTACGGACATTGTTGCAGGAGAAGAAGTTGCCATCAAGCTTGAATGTGTCAAAACCAAACACCCTCAGCTCCACATTGAGAGCAAAATCTACAAAATGATGCAGGGAGGAGGTATGGCCTTTACCTGTTAAAGAAGACAAGCAGGGTTGTTTGATGGGAGGTGTGTGTCCTGAATTAAACTCTGGCTTGTTTTGGGAAAGGGAGGAAAATGCCCATGCTCTGGGCCCAGCCACGTGGCCCTTTCATAGGCTGTCAAACAGCTCAACAGAAAGAAACAGAAGTTCATGCTTTTGGCTAAAACACTACCTTTTCTAGTCTCATTTCACGGAGCAGTGTCTGAACTCGGGGCCTGTGTGAATGTTGATTCCTAGCACTGCTGGTTGTCATGTGTGCCAGCTCAGTCACATGCTTTGCTCAGCTTTGGCGTGGGGGTGTCCCTTCAGACTTTTCTGAGCGAGGCTACTGCAACCCCTTCTAGCTGAATTACTGTCCCAATTCTGTCCCCAAACCTCCCCTTGGACCGAAGGGTGCCTGATGTCCGAGGGTGCCCATCCTGACCTCAGAGTTTCATTTTAGAATTCTCTGGACTTTAAAATCGTTTCGCTAATGGAGCAGGAGGGGATCTTACTAGGAGTCTCGGACTCTGCAACATGGAGAGGGCTATGCTGCTGCCTTCTCAGGAAGAAGCCCTGGGGTCGGAAGCTATGTGGCATTTCCTTGGGGCAGGGGGGTCCTCTTCAGGGTGTGACATCTCCCCTCCACAAAAGCGGTGTCTCTGCGGCTGCTGGAAATAGCACTTGGTGGTGCGTCCAGTACAGTGTCTCTTCAGTAGTGGGGACGACCGAGTGCAGCACACAGTCCTGCGGGACCCTGCACAGGGTTCCATGCGTCCCGTCCCACGTCTCATGGAACCAGAGCACCTCGACTGGCACACGGTGAAAACTTCCTGCCCCTGTTGACCCAGGGAGAGGTCCGCAGAGGATCCAGTCAGGGTACGTGGCCTCAGCTGGAGGAAGTTTCTCAGGCACAGCTTTTAAGGTGGTGACAAGTAGAATGAGGTGACTCAGGATGTGGCCTTCATGGTGGGGAGGAGCCTGGTGCTGGGGGTGGAATGAAACCTCCCAAATGAAAAGCCTTGACTTTTAAGGAGCAGCACTTCTGAGAACTCCCAGGCTGGGGCACCCCTGTGTTGTGGCACAGTGCAGGAACACCCCACACCCAGGTCAGAAGGATCAGAAATGTTTCCAGACATAGCTCAGTGCCTAGAGCCAATACTGCTTCCTGTCTGAACCCTGCTCTAGGAGTTGGGGTGCCACCTACTCTTGGTCTTCCCATGCCCCTTCTCTGGCACCCTGCAAATGTGCCCCAACTCCGCCATTCCCTGCACAGATCGGGTTCCTCCCCGGTTTCTGATGCACACTTGATGGGTGCTGTCTGGGTGTAAGACCCGTGTTTTAGAGAACGATTGTGTCTGGAAAAGCAGAGCATGGCCTTCTGGGAGTGTTCTGTGAACTCATTGACCAAGACCACTCATTGACCTCCCGGCAGAGAGGAAGAAGAAGGAGTCTGCCTTGCTTAGAGAGTAGGGGCTCTGCCATTGACCAGCTTTTTGCATGATATCTGCTGTGGGTGCTGCAGGCCACTTGGTTGCTATCAAGGGACAACAAGCACCCCTGTGGCTCTTTTTATGCAAAGTCCTGGGCTTCGTTGCATTTGGTGTGTGCGGAGTCATTGCAGGAGTGCCTCGCACTGTCTGGCTTCTACTACAGGGTTGTCCCGGCCACTGCTCGCGTGCTGGTGGCGTTGCACCTGGCCAGGGAGAACTGCTGCTCCATTGGTCCAGGGGGAGGAGTCGGATAAACACATTAGTGTCAAGGATTATTAGAAGTGTTTTTTTATATGCACAGGTGCATTTACTACCGCAACAGTTCGGTGCAGTAGGTATCTTCAGCCTCGTGTAATGAATGAGGAAACTGAGGCACAGGTGGCTACAGGACTTGCTAAGGACACAGATATGAACTTGAGTGTGTAGCTTCCAGGCCACTTGGCAGAGGTCTGCCCCCAGGAAGGGATTATGGCCCTTCATGGTGGCCCGGGGTTAGGAATGTGCCCCATATCTTCCACCTGCCCTCCATCTGTTTATGGAAAGAGACATAAAACACAAAATAGCAGGAATCAATTTTAATAAGTTTTGTTGGTGATGGGCTCTGGTAGACACCAAGTTTTTATCAAGATGGAGTGGACTGTCAGACAGAGCCTAGAGGCCAACTGCTGTCCAATCCTGGTGTCCACAGAGTATCTGTAGACCGCTTCCTTCTCCGGTAAACCTCGGCGGAGAGCGTTTGAGCAGTTCACAGCTGCTCCTGGTCGAGGTGCATGCCTGAGACCAGGGCCCACCATTGCAGGGCCAGGCTTCACTCTTGCCACCTCTCTGGTGCCCGTGTGCCCGCCCAGTGCCCCCTCAAGGAGGAGCAGCCCAAAGCCTGTTTCCTACATTGCCTTGCCTAGCTTGTTTTTATTTATTTTTATTAATCCTCACCTGAGGATATATTTTTTCCCTATTAATTTTAGAGTAGAAGGGAGGGAGGGAGAGAGAGAAACACTGATGTGAGAGACACATCGATTGGTTGCTTCTCCCAAGACCCCAATGGGGCCTGGGGAATCAGTTCTGCAACCCAGGTGTGTGCCTTTGACTGGAATTGAACCCGAGACCCTTCAGTCCAAGGGTGAACACTTTTTAATTGCTGAGCCAAACAGTCCAAGGCACCTAGTTTGTTTTTAAATGTCTGTTTCTGTTAACCCTCCCACCCCCAAGAAATCTGTTTTTGAAAAATCTAATGACGTTGATTAGGAACATTTGACAGTTTTATTTTCAGTTGTTTTAAGGTTAAAAGGCTGAAAACTTTGTGAACATTTGTGTTTGTGTTGATGCTAAGTCCCTGGGTTTATATAGAAATCTCTTGCAAACCTGACCTAACCCTGGTCTTCCCTCCCACCCCTCCCCCAACCACACGCTTTGATGTCTGGACTCCATGAGCGTTCAGAACATCCATCCTGATTGCATGTGGGCACACACCGCACTGGTCTCTGTCCTCACTCAGGTCCTGCTGCTCCTGCACAGGCCCGGTCGAAGCCCTCCAGCTGCACAGCTTTGTCCAGATCCTGACCTGGCTGGCATAGGTTTCAGGTGTTGCCGTGCAGTCTGTACACAGGCTGAGGAACATCCTGAGAATGGCCATGGAGCTGGTGGCTCCAGGGGCCTCGCCACACGGGTTGCAGACAGTCTGCCTAGGACGAGGCGGTACTTTCTTGGCCAGGAGCTCCCAGAGCAAGAGCCTTTGCTCTTACAGCGTTTACCTCTAGCACCGCGGGCAACAGACACACGGGTGTTTACCGTGTGAGGAAAGGCAGGCACCACCTGTGAAGTGAAACTGCAAGTCTGCGCCAGGTCTTCTCAGTGCAGACCCTTTTGGACCACAGGACCCTTCCTCCTGTTGGACCCAGCACCCCTAGGGCCACTGTGCTGACATAGCTGTGGGTTGATGGTTTCATTGCTGCTGTTGGTTATCTTCTGTGTCTAGAGAAGCGGTTCTTGGTATTGTTTCTAGCATTGTGCTCTTAGGGATGGAGCCCCGAGGACATTCTTGTCCATGTCTAAGAGTAGAACTGGGTTTCGGGGAGGAGGCAAAAGCCTGGCCTGTGGGATGTGTTCCAAGAGGGGTCTCATGGATTCATCCTCCCAGAGCTGCATGGCTCGGGGCTCCTGGGGGCCCCGTCTCATCTTCAGCTTTGCTGTTTCCATTTCTCTGTAGCATGGCATGCATAGGAGACAGGGAGATAGATTTACTTATTTATTTATTTATTTATTTATTTTTATCCTCACCTGAGGACATTTTTCCATTTTTTGTTCAGATAGAGTGGGAGGGAGGGAGGGGGGAGAAAGAGAGAGAGAGAGAGAAACATCGACGTGAAGGGACACATCAAGTGGCTGCCACCCGCACGACCAACAGGGCCGGGGACAAACTGCAACCGAGGTATGCGCCCTTAGCAGGAACCGAACCCAGGTCTCTCTGGACTGCAGGCCAGCGCTCCAACTGTTGAGCCAAACCGGCCAGGGCAGAGACAGGGAGATTTAAAGAAGAAGGATGGAAAAGGAGGAAATACACTGTTGTTGACATGCTGTAGTTTCCTACATAGGAGCCCAGAAGGCAAATGTGAGTTTAGCCAGGTAGCTTAGGATCAGAATATAAAATCAGTTCATTACATACACCTGAACAGTCAGGTACACAATGTCGTTCTCTCTTCTCTCAGTACCAGGAAGTATTTATTCATCGTATTTTCCAGGGAAATGGGTCCGTGTGTGTCACACAAGGGCAGCAGGGGAGGAAACCCCAGCCCAGTAAAGGACCAGAGCTCAGCCCTAGGGCAGGTCTCTGAGGGCCCACACTCATGTTCCTGCAGGTCCCCAACCCAGAGGGGTCTGGAAAAGGACAGATAAGCATATGCTTCCCGTCCTTTGCCCCCTCCTCCTCATAAATTCAAGATTTCACATGCAGCTCTGGTTTTTAGTAGTGAGTACAGGGTTCCAGTCATCTGTCTAGTGACCAAGCTTGTGACCACTCTGACTGAAGTCTCCTGTGCTGCACACAGGCTTTTCTGAGTGCCTGGGAGATGCGTTCACCTTCCCTCCCTTCGTCTCCCAACCCCACTGTCTGTGTGGCAGTGGGCCCTTCGCCCTTGCATTTGGGATTAAAGCAGGTCTGAGCCCTTCAGACACAGGTGTGCTTGCATGAATCACATCAAGGGATGATGGTTAACTCAGGAGACTAGGAACAAGGGAGGGACTATTTCTAGCTTTTTCAGAATTTTTGCACAAATAATTCAAGAGTTCTGGAGACACTCCAGAAATTAAATGTGTGGATTTGTGGTCTTTGGGCGGGGAAAAGAGGAGGAAGTAGGGTAGGAGTCCATTTTGAGGGCAGACCTGGTCCAAAATAGGAAACAGGGCCAGAGGGCCTGGCCCATTATGGCTCAGTTGGTTGGGCATCGTCCCGTGCATGGAAAGGTTGCAGGTTCAATTCCTGGTCAGGGCACATGCCCGGGTTGCAGGC